TTTGTTCCATTATAACATGGAGTCATGACGGGTGCTTTGAGAGCCAGTTTTAATACATAGCCTAGTTGTGTGGCGGTGCAAATAGTTAAGTGCTACATGAGAACTAGCCAAAAGGTTGGAAGTTCAAAGGCATCCAGAGGCACCTTAGAAGAAAGACCTAGCGATCTGCTTTCAAAAGGTCACAGTCTTGGAAACCCTATGGAGCTGTTCTACTCTGCACACAATGGGGTCGCTGAGTGGGAGTGGACTCCATGGCAGCTAAAACAACACAGTGGTGCACCTTCTTTAAAAAAAGCAAAACAAAACACAACACCCTGCTAGCAGTAAAGTCTTAAATTAAAACTGTACCTGGAAGCTAAAAAGTAGTCCTTGTGGTGCAGTAATTAAAGCGCTCGGCCCAACTGAAAGGTTGGCAGCTCAGACCCACCAGCTATTTCTGGGGGAAGAAAGATGTGGCATTCCGTAAAGATTACAGCCTTGGAAGCCCTTGGGGTAGTTCTATTGTATCCTATAGGATCGCTATCAATCGGAATCCACTGGACCACAATGGCTTTGGTTTGGGTTGGTTGAAGCAAAATTCAGAAAAAATGAATTGGCTGACTTGCACTCAAATTTACATGTGTAATGATTTGAGCTAGAGATTAGTGAGAAGACCCTTGCTGTAGTCCTTGTATTCAACTGATGTATTCTTATTCATCATTCAAGCATCTGCTCAGGAGATACCTTCTCTCTTTTCCTCACTGTAAATTAAGGACGATAATACCATTAATGTTAACAGCAGCTCATATTTACCGGTAATTCCCAGGAGCCACTCTACGTCAAAAACACTTCACACACCTTAACTCATTTAATTCTCACAATAACATCGAGAAGGTACTGACTCCCATTTTACGGATGACGTGACGACTTTTTCTTAGACACCGCTCTGTTCTACCACAATGGCACCCTGATGATCACCGTGCACGTGTCCCTGTCCTGCTCACTGTGACCCCTTGAGGTCAAAGAACAAGCCTAATTCGTCATTTCGTCCCCCAGGATCCGCCTCGCCCGGGCTCAGTAAATGCAGGAGCTACGACAAAGGAAGAGCCTTTTGGCTTCCCAATCCTCCCGTCCGGATCTCATAGTCCCCAAACCCGCACAAGAGTGATCGGAGACCCGGATCCACTCGGCGCAGTCACACCGGTCGGGGTGTGCGAAGGGAAGGAAGGGTCGCGGGTGACCGCGTGGCGGAGTCCATGGCGTCGCAGGGACCAGCCCCACGCGCCGGCCCGAGGCCGGAACCTTTTCCCTTGCTCCGGGGTAGCTCGGCGGAAGCCGGAACCTTTCTCATCGCGCTGCGGTTGCTGGACGGAGGCGTGAGTCAGGAAAAGGTCCTTCCGCAGTCGGGCTCGCGCCGCGGTCGCCGGCTGCTGACGTGAGCGGACTCGGTGGGGGCCGCGGGTGCAGGTCGTCATGGCGGTGGACATCACGCTGCTGTTCCGGGCCAGCGTCAAGACCGTGAAGACACGGAACAAGGCGCTGGGAGTGGCGGTGGGCGGCGGGGCTGATGGCAGCCGTGACGAGCTTTTCCGCCGGAGCCCTCGGCCCAAGGGCGACTTTTCCAGCCGGGCCCGCGAAGTGGTGAGCTGGTTGCTATGGAAACGGCGGGCGGGAGAGGTGGGGCGGACCGGCGACTTGGACCCCTAGACCCTCCCGGGTTATGTATTGTGTGAGGGAAACGTCTGGAAGAAGTTATCTCAAGCAGGAACAGAATTGGTTTCGGAGAACCGACAGCTGTCTTGGGAAAGGAACACCCTTGTTGTGGGGACTAAAGATCAGTATTGGGGAAATCAAGTAGGTGCTCGGAAATCTCAGTCTGGGCTGCTTTGTGTGGTAACGAGTTCGCCGTCACTGCAGACTTGAATGCCGGGGAAACTGCCCTTTCGTTCGCTGTCACGTCCATGACCCAGGCGGTTGCCTCTTCTGCTCACTTGTCTAACCTCCTCTGCCTCTTACTAAGATCAAACACCGTGCCGGATTCTGCTTCCCCTCTCTCCCCTTCCCTCCTGCGGGAGGTGAGGGACACATGGTAGAATTCAGTACTTCTTGAGATCGGTTTAGGACCATCTTTAACGAACGCACCATGTTGCAGTCGTCTAAACTGCTTTCTGTTTCCTGAACAGTGCCGGCTTTCCTTATCTCTCTCAGAGCAGCGACCTTCTCCTTAATGGTGGAAACCGTTGGTTTCGTCTCAGAACCCCCAGTGCATACTCACTTGCTTAGCAAATTATTGCTGAGCGAACGACTGAGCAAATGGTTGTCAGTCTTCCCCATTCAACAGAAAACTCCCTACGAGAATGCTTGGCTTGCTCACTTTTGTACCTTTGGCAAGATTCAAGAGTGGATCTAGTTTTTGTGGACCTGAAGCTTATACAACTCATTTGCCCTCTTTAAGAAATAAAAATGCAAAGTTAGGAGAAAAATAAATCAGGTTTAGAGTTTTGGAAAGTAAAATGATAGGGCCCTGGAGTTTAAGAGTGATTAGCTTCACTGTAAATCCACTTGAGCTTGGTGCAGGGTCCAATGCTTGGCAGTCTGCAGATGGACACTAAGGTATTTCAATGAATATATGCATGAATGATCCAACGACTGGGGAGGTGGCAGAGGATGTTAAAGCATTAGAGGGGGGATTAGACTAGAATGCGTACAATCCATTAACAGGAATCTCTTAAGATCCTAAGGAGGTCTGGTGGCACAGTGCCTAAGGCATTTGCTAAGCAGAAGGTTGGTGGTTCAAACCCACCAGCCACTCCTTGGAAGGAATACTGGGCAATCTACCTCCATAAAGATTTATGGCCTTGGAAACCCAAAGGGGGTTGCTATGTGTTGCAATCGACTTGATGGCAGTAGGTTTAGTTTTTGGTTTATTAAGTTCCTACCTTTTGACCAGCATTGTATTCACTTAACACAATATGAAAGGAGTGATGGAGGAGACAGACATATGAACAAAACAATTGCCAGAAAACATTGTAAGTGTTGGGATAGAAATCTGGGTAGGGCACAGAGGTGAGTGTGGTCAGTTCTACCTGAGGGCGAGGAAGGGCTTTCTAGAGGTGATGATGCCTAAAAACAAACCTTGAAAGATTTGGTTTCAATTCAGACTAAGGGCACAGTATGTGCAGAGTCATGGATATAGTGTTGTTATGTGCCGTCGAGTCGGACCCGACTCATAGCGACCCCTTCTTGGGTTGCCGAGGCAGTATCACTATGGAAATAGATTGCCCCATCTTCCTTCTGAGGAGTGACTGGTGGGTTTGAACTGCCAGGCTCCTGGTTAGCAGTCAAGTGCCTTAGGCACTACGCTACCAGTACTCCCCTGGGGATAGTAACAGCCTCTAAGTTGGTTCAGTTAGCATTTGAGTGTGACTGGAATATGGGACACCCAGAAAAATGAAACTGGAGGGCCAGGCAGGGGCAGATCTTCAAGAGCCTTGTTGGTCACTCTGCTGACTTTGAACTTTGTCCTGTAGGCAGTCAGTTGTTGGCTGGGGGAAAGACCTTCCAGTGGCAACCAGGAGTCCAGGCTGCTGTTGTCTTAATCCTGTGACTGTCAGCCACTTGCTGCTACTAAACAAACCTTGTGACCTCTGTTTATTTACCTGGGAGGCACTGATGGTTCAGGGGTAGAATTCTTGCCTCCCATGTGGGGGATCTGGGTTTCATTCCTGGTTAGGGCCCTTCATGTGCAGCTACCACCCATCTGCCAGAGAAGTTGTACGTGGGTGACCGTGGGGCTAGGTAGATTACCTTGGAGCTTCTAGCCTAAGATGGACCACGATTAGAGGCCTGGTGATGAATCAGGCAGCAAGAACCCTGAGGATCACAGTGGGACATTATTCAGTCAGCAGCCGATCCGGGGTGGTGCCGGACTGGGTTCTGTTCCATGGTGCATTGGGTCGTCTTGAGTTGGAGCCAATGTGTGGCAACTAATAGCCACATTCTGACTCGGATCACTGATGTGTTAACGCTGCTTCTTTTCAGTCTTCAGGAGCAGGGGATTAGGGAGTGTAGGGGCAAGATTGACAGCCTTGGAATCCATGGGGTGGTCCTCTTCTGTCCGATGGAGTCACTATGAGTCTGAATCGAGTTGATGACAAGGGGTTGGGTTTGTTTACTTATTTGAGGTGCTAGATGCATAGTTAGGAGCTCTGGTAGCATAGTGCCTAATGCACTTGACTGCTAAGCAGAAGGCTGGCAGTTCAAACCCACCAGCCACTCCTTGGAAGGAAGATGGGACAGTCTACTTCTGTAGTGATACTGCCTCGGAAAGCCAAGGAGGGCTCGCTGTGAATCGGGTCCAACTCAATGGCACATAGTAACAACAGATGCATAGTTGGGTGGGCAAGCCCTGTGGGGAACTTGGTGATGGCTCAGACCTTGCTCCGGCCTCGGGCATTTCTCCAAGGGCCGAGAATGCACTTTAGGCCTTTGAGCAGTAGAGGACTTGGGGGGTGCTGAGTTCCCCTTCCCTGGAGGTATTTAAACAGGACAGCTGTGAGAGCTGCTGGAGAGGAGCAGTGTGCATTTCTCAGAGGGCTGAACGCATCATTGAAGTTGCAGTTCTAATACTTAATGACAGCACAGGTACTTGTCAAGGCTTAGAAGTTCTGTTAAGTGGGGACGGGAGCTGTGTTGTTCAGAGCCACTGCTCCTCCTGCCCTAGGGAAAATACGCATTCCTTTAAGAATTACGTTTTGACCTTGTGGTTGCTTTGTGTGTTACTTGCAGCCGTCCCTCCCTCCCCCGTGCCCCTGTCCCCGTCCTTGTGGAAAAATGTAAGTGGGGGAGAGCTGGTGATGGGCATGGCGCTGCTCCTTTGTTTGGCCTGTGATCCTCCCGCGTCAAAGGCTGGCCAGTACTAGGAGCAGCTCTTCGGGTTCAGGCGCAGCCCTGGTTGTCAGAAGGAAGGGATTGCCACACCTTACACCAGCACCTTTGGTTAAGTGCCTTCATTGAATCATTTGTTTCATTTCTTGGATACATTTTACACAGTTTAATTCCTCTTCTTCCATTCCACTTTTTGGACAAAACATATGCCTTCTGTCAGGATTCCTATCTCTGAATCGTTGCACAGTTTTATATTAAGCTCAGTAAACCTTCATTGAAACGAGATCTTTTTTTTTTCCCCACAGCCTAGTGTCTTCTTCAGTCTTTAAGAAAATATTTAACTTTTATGCTCAATTTTGCCCAGTTTATATATGCTGAACCTGTGTATACGCCCATGAAATTTCTGATTAGTCATGACATTTCAGATTGGAGACATTTATTCATTATCTGCATAATTCTGAGTGCCGATCGCTTTCTTGCCCTGTGGTAGGAGCATGATGAGTGAGCTCATTGTACTGTGTGGCTGCTGAGGGTCACCGGACTCAGATGTAGAAGATTTGGGTTCAAACATGAGTTCTGCTATGTTGAGCTAGGAAGGAGCTCTGGTGGCGTAGTGCCTAAGGCATTTGACTGCTAAGCAGAACGTTGGCGGTTCAAACCCACCAGCCATTCCACGGAAGGAAGACTGGGCAATCTACTTCCATAAAGATTTACCACCTTGGAAACCCAAAGGGAATCACTATGAGTTGGAATTGACTCGAAGGCAGTGAGTTTGGGTTTTTTGTTTTTTAGTTTTATGTAGAACTAGGTGCACTTGGGCAGGTCTTCTTAGCTGAGTCTCATTTTCCATATCTGTAAAATGGGCATGCTGATTCTCTACTTAAGTGAATTATAAAGATGGAGAAGGAACCCACTCTTCCATGTAGGCTCCAAATTGTATTCCCCAAACCACTTAGTTTTCTTGCACTTTCATTCCTTGCTTATAAAAACCAAACCAAGCCAAACCCATTACCATTGAGTCGATTACAACTCAGAGACCCTGTGGGGCAGAGTAGAACTGTCTCATAGGGTTTCCAAGGCTGTAATCTTTACGGAAACAGACTGCCTCAGTTTCCTCCCATGGAGCAGCTTGTTGTTGTTGTTGTTATGTGCCATCGAGTGGGACCCGACTCATAGCGACCCCTCCTTGGGTTTCCGAGGCGGTATCACTACGGAAGTAGATTGCCAACCTTCCTTCCGAGGAGTGGCTGGTGGGTTTGAACCGCCAGCCTTCTGGTTAGCAGTCAAGAGCCTTAGGCACTACGCCACCAGAACTCCCTATGGAGCAGCTAGTAGGTTCAAATCTCTAAGCTTTCAGTTGGCAGCCGAGGGCTTAACCACTTCACCCCCAGGGCTGCTTTGCTTGTGACTGTGAACCAAGGAAGTGTGTGGAAGAATGAGTGCAGTTCTCGGGCAGGTCCTGAGTAGAAGCACTGCCTGCACTTAAAAATGGCAGCAGCCTTCCTGTGGCAAGGTGAGACTTTATCAGGGATGGCAAACGCGGGGCGCACACACAGCCTTTCCTGGCCATGAACGTGGACACCAGTGCTGATTTCCCACTGAGCCCTCTGCAGCTTTGTGCCCCAAGCAGCCATTACCAATGGTGGGACTTACCTGCCAATGAAATCTGTTTGATATCCTTCCTGACAGAGTCTGTGCGCCTCCTGCGGCCCTATGGCCCTCTCTATTTAAAAGCGCACTTCAGGGGCCCTCGAGTTTATGTTGCTCAGGTGAGAAAACTGAAGCCAGGTAAGTGAAATGGCTTGCCCCAGGTCGTAGCAGCACAGGCCACAGGGAGCGGAGGAAGAAGGCAGGCCCGGTGACCCCAGTTGTGTGCCGTTTTTGCCTTCCCTGCATTCTGCCTTAAATTTCTAACATTTTTCCAAATGAGAATTCTTTGGCTTTTAAGTGTCAGTGAGTTTCTTCTT